CCTCCACATGCAGCTGCTGGGTGACCTTGGGCTAGTCACACTTCTCTGAAGTCTCTCAGCCTCACTTACCTCACAGAGTGTTTGTTGTGGGGGAGGAAGGGAAAGGAGAATGTTAGCCGCTTTGAGACTCCTTAGGGTAGTGGTAAAGCGGGATATCAAATCCAAACTCCTCCTCCTCCAAACAAAAACATCCTGTTTCAGAACTTTCTGTTGGCTATCTAGGCAGAACTACTGGTGGCAGCTCTCCACCTGACTAGGTGACCCTAGGGCCATCTGGCAACACTCCTCCTTGCCAATGGAAAAGTACCATCAAACCCCGCTCCTCCCACAATAAACTGTAGTGAGGTGTCATCAGTACTGTGGTGATACCAAGCTCCATTTCTCTGCAACATCTGAATTGGGAGTGGTTGCATAGAACCCAGACCACAGTCTGGGTGCAGTGATGGGTTGGATGAGGGTTAATAAACTGAGTTTGAATCCTGTTTTGTGGAATAACATCCCTATTGAGGTATAACAGGCACCCATTATTTGTACTTTCTAGAAACTGAGGATAGTTTTGTTTGAACAAGCTTTTCCAGTTGGATGAAAAGGTTTCTGTTTTAGAGGTTTATTTTGCATTATTTTTTTAAACCTATCTTTAATTGTATTTGTTCAGCTTTTAAAACTATTTTAGCTGTTTTTTGTATGTCTGTAAACTGCCTTCGGACTCATGTAAAAAGAAGTGCATAAAATAATAATACTTTTTAGAGGTGCTGAAACATTACCACTATTGGCACTTGCCTGAGGAGCTTGAGTCATGGCAGTTCCTTAAGGAGGTAATTGAAAGGAAAATAAAATGAACCATAAGTTTCATTTTATTTGCTTTTCAGTGTCCACATACAGTGCCATTCTACTCTCACAGGCTCCCTCTGCAACTGACTTTCAAAGTAGAAATATATATATAAAATAAAAAAAATTGTCTAGTAGCACCTTAGAGACCAACTAAGTTTGTTCTTGGTATGAGCTTTCATGTGCATGCACACTTCTTCATATATGAAAGCTCATACCAAGAACAAACTTAGTTGATCTCTAAGGAGCTACTGGACAATTTTTTAATTTTTTAAATATATTTCTACTGCGTCAGACTAACACCTACCTGACTTTCAAAGGGGAGGGATAAGCTAAGATTTTCATTATCCACCTCAACTGCTGTTTCTTAATCATGTGAGAAAGCTTCAGTGGTTGCATGGTGCTCCTTGCTGTACCTAGTCGTAAGGTTCTACTGAATGCTGTATCCCCCAATGAACCTGCTTAATTGCTAACTTGAAACCGTATTTTCATACTACGCAGCGTTACCCTTTTCCCTCCAGTAAATTCATGTGTCTCATTTCAGAGTGAAGCAACAGAATTTTCAGTAATTCAAGCCTGACTCCAAGAGTTGCGGCCTCTTAACTTGCAGTTTTAAGGGCTTTGATATGGAGCAGGATTCTGCAGCTGCAGATTCTACTTTCATGATGCTCAGCTGCCAGCTTTCCTATCTCATCAGCTGTACCAAGAGCACAGCAGAACTTCAAGGCAGGCATTAGCTTTTAACAAAGCAGCAACCAACTTTCGTTTAGGCTTGGAGGCTGAAAGAACCCTCTGACAATGTAAGGCACAAGCCTCCCCGTTTTCTATCCCCAACTACAGTTGTCCAGCATCTTACCTCTAACTGTGCTAGCTTTTCTTGTATTTTATAATACTGGTCATTGTCCACATGAACAGCTTTTCTTATTACGTCTCCCATCTCACAGATCCTGTCGATTTGACTCTCAATTTCCTGTAAGCAGATTTGAAAGCAAAATTATAAACTAATAAAAAGAAAAACAAGTTAAATCAGATATTTCCAAAGAAAAGTCAAAGAACACGGAACCAAAGAGTCATATCTACATCCTTCCCTCACTGGACCTAGTGCTGCCATATTGTACATCTGAGCTTCTTCCTGAACTTTGCTCTACTGTGCCTTCTGTCATATTCCCATGTTGGTTCCCTTAACTGGCTGTGTGGTAAAACCAAAGTCTCATTTGCTGTCACAAACAGAGGAGAGGGATTGTTACAGAATGTGGCAGGAGGTACTGGAACTGCATGTTCTCCTGCTATCCCAGAAGGTTTAAGAGGGAAGGTCAGATCTTCAGGTTGCAATCTGACAGAATTAATTACAACATACTGGCTGCTTTAAGGTAGTGGTGGTGGTGAGAATCTCTTGGATCTTATAACTGGTTTGTATTTTTGCAAGCAGTACAAAAACAAATTAAAGGTATCTCATTTTACAATATTGAAGTCACAAAGAACTGCAGATATATATATAGATATATATATATATATATATATACACAACAACTAAGCCACTCATCTTTCTTCCTATTGGAAACTTATCTTCTTTCTGGAATAAAAAGAATAATAGAATAATTCCTTACTGCAGACTGAGCTTGATGCACTTTCAAAATTGGCTGAGCATCCACATCTTTTCTTTTCATCATCAGCTGTAACATGTGTTTCCTATATTTGCTCATAATAAGTTCCAAAGCATCCTGGTGTTCTTCCAAAGAAACCCACAGTTCTGAAAAATATAACACAAATTCAATGCAAATACTAGGAAGAAACTCCATATTCTAAGGTCACATTAAGGCTGTACAACCTCCCTGTGCATCCTACCTCTCCATCTTCTATACATACAATAATTTTCAAATCCTTACATTTTCTTAGCCCACTGGTGCCTTATGAACACAATTTCTTACTCTTATAATAAGAATTCAATTTTCTGAAATTTCAAGAAATTCTTTATGGGTCTGGCCTTCCTTAACTGTACAGTACTTCACCTATTGATTCAAACTCTGGATATATGTCCAGCACTTACTCAGTTTTGTTTCCAGACCAATACTGTGTACATCTACTTGGATATAAGCCCCATTTTGTTCAAGATGTGTCTGTTCAGGATGGCAGTCTTGGGAAATCCTACTGTCGCTATCATGCTCTCAAGAGCCGATGCATCTGACATACCGTACAGTAATGGCCAGTACACAAAGGCTGTAAACTGCATTTCAAATAATTTACTTGTTAATTCAGCCCCAAAACATGAACAACTTAAATTTTTAGATGAGTTACAATTGGCTGAAGCTATCAATTAAAATATATTGGAACTTTTACTGGCCCCAGCACCCTGAAGTTTTCTAAATTTTTAGAAGAAAAACTCATAAATTCATGAAGTTTAAGATACAGTAATAGATCATAAACATCAATACTGCCATGCTATTCAGGTTCAGACTGTATTTTGGAGGCAGTGGGGAAAGTGATCAGGTTAAAGAAAGTAAATGGGTGCCAGTTTTAAAAAAAGGACTGTAGGTGAAATGTGTACAGGCCACAGAAATAGTAGAATTTTATTATCAAGCTTTAAAGACAACTTTCACCAAGAATGCAACTGAGTAAGGAACCGGTACTGAGAAGAATATTTGGGCAGTATTCAGATATATTTTTGTGCTACAGCACAAAATGTGGCACTCATCAGGTGCCACACACCACTTTGTATGAAGAAATTAGATCAGTAGTCACACTTAAGACATTAGTCCCACAGAAATCAATTGAACTTAAAGTATGTATGTTTAGGATTAGGGTGCTTGTGAAATGAGCAACCATATCCAAGGACTAATCCTGTTTAGAGCTGTGACTAGAACACACAGGCATGGGTGCTCTTTACATCCTTCAGTTCAAGACAATCATAAGTGGTGCAGGCTTGCATTATGTTCTGGTTAATCCTTGCAGCCAAACAAGTCACTTGAGGGCTCATAGCTACCTCGCTAACACAATGCTCACCTCTGTTTTCCTGCTGCAAGTCTCTGATCTGAGTGTTCTCCTGAGATAGCAGAATATGAGGTTTGTATTTAGACATGTCCTTCAGCTCAGCTCCGTCCTCTTGATACTTGTAAAGAAAAGATGGTCCATGTGAACCCAGAGCAGTCTAATAATATCCATACAACATTCCACTCACCCCGACCCACGTTTTCACACCGACGCTGCTGGGTCCGTACTCACCTTGTGCGAAAGAGGTGTGCCGGCCTCCTTCATGGACACAACCCGCTTGTGCAACATGGTGGACTGGTCAATGAGAGACTCAGCTGCGTTGTCATGGTCTTTCAGCCTTTCCAGCAGGGTCCGTGCATCGGTCAGGATCTTCTCTATAGTACAGGCCATTGTCAGAGAACTGAAAGGAGAACGGATCGGGTTAAGATTCAAGAGCTATCAAAGCCAGGCTCAGAGTATATGAGGCTTTGAAATATGTGGTGTAGTGGTTAGAGTGTTGGAGCAGGACCTGGGAGATCAGGGTTCGAATCCCCCCTCAGCCATGAAGCTCACTGGATGACCTTGGGCCAGTCCCCATCGTTTAGCCTAACCTACCTCACAGGGTTGTGGAGAGGATGAAGCCGAGAAGAAGAGAACCATGTACACCACATAAATGTAATAAATAAATATTATGGTGGGGTGTTTTTGGGGAGGGGGGAGGTGTCTTCATATGAAAGCACTAGAGGAGGCTGGGACACAGAACTGGCCACACGACACGGATGCCCCCAGCCCCACTCTGTGTGCTCTAGGGAGGTCTGTGTCCTAGGAAGGGCAGGCAAGCAGGGTCCGGTTTTAGTGGCCTCCCGGGGAGGCAGCACCTCCGCGTCCGACATGGAGTGAATGGGAGAAAGGAGGCAACATAGTATTGCGGCCGTTCCCAGTCCCGGGCGACCCCGAGGCAGCCCCTCGCCCTTCCCAGGAGGCGCCCCCCGGTCCGCGCCCTCCTACTTACCCCCTCCGGCCGCGTCTCCCGCTCCGGCTTCCCTCCCTCCGGCCGTCAGCGAAGAGGGTCCCGGCTCCGAGGCACACTAGGGGGCGCAGAGGTCACAGGCTCCGCGCTTCGGCCGTCGCCGCCGCTTCCGGTATGAAGTTTCCTTCCTCTCCGAGTCGAGGGAAATTCATAGCTCTCCGGAGAAACTTCCGGTTTCCGGTTGCAGGCGGCGGGCGTCGAGGCTCCCCTTTGGGTTGCGGAAACCCAACAGGTGGAGCCTCCCTGTTCCTTTGGCGGAGCAGCGACCGGGGAAGGCTGCGCCTGCAGCATCTCTGCGGCCTGCAGCCTCGTAAGGGGCCCGGCGGTTCCGCTAGCAGGAGCCAAAGGCTCAAGATCAGTTGTCAGGCGCAGCCTCGTAGCTTGAAAGCTCCGTGTCAAGTTCTGGTGCAGGCATCGGTCGCGCGCGACCACGTCCGTGGGTTTGATTTCGTTATTCACGGCCGCAGTCCTGTACCTACTTGCTTCCGAGTAGACATATATAGGGATTGCGCTGTAAGCGAGAATCCTCTGCTCATCGAGGGGGTAGGGGAGACTGCATTGGAGTCAATGGATTGACTTTTGAGTAGGCACGTGTAAGTTTGTGCTGCTATTTAAAATCAATTCAATATGCAGCGCTTTCCAATTCCATTTGTTTTGGCAAGCCATTACCCAGCCCTGTGCGCACCTATCCCATCTGCCTTCCTTGCTTCTAGCTGTCCGTTTACAATCCCTTTTCTGCCTGTCAAATCTGCAGCATGAAATGTTGCTTTAAATTCTGCCGGCTATTCTGCCGGCTGGAGTCCTTCAAACTGCGGAGCAGAAGTAGAGAAAAGAAGCAGGACTAGTCCCATCAACTCTGCTGAGAGGCTAGCTTTTTTTCTGGCCCTCCCTTTAACTGCCATCTAGTGACAGTCATTGCATTGACTGCCCTGTTTTCGTTCCAGCAAGTCCTTATAAGAATTGTAGCTAGTGCTCAAGCTTTCTGTTTTCCTCCACCCTCCGCATTTCCTTATCCTTGCGTGCCCCAATGCTGATTCCGTGGTGTCCGTGTCACCCAACTCCCTCCCCCATTACTCTGTTTACCATCCAGGTCCTGCTTCAAACTCCCAAGTATTTTTTGCTTGATTGGAATTTCTCTTGCTTGTCTGGATGGACAAGAGGGAGGGTGTGTAGAAACCAGCCTATGGTACAATGGCAAAATTTACATTTGATGTTCTGTCCACTTCTGCTGCTAGGGCTGCTTACCACTGGTGCATGGCTCTCTGGAGAATGTCCAGGAGACTACAGCTGTCTGGCTGAAAAGATTCCCCACCTAGCCGGATAAAAGAACTTGAAAGCTTGCACATTATTTTGGTTGCCTGAAGGTGTTACCCTAATATGGTTTTGTTTTGTTTTTTGCATTTTGATCTTGTCTTTTAACTTGGCAAACCTGAGAGCAGTGACTATATTACTTATTATCTGTAAGTTGTTCCAAGATCCTTTTTTAAAGTGCATTGTAAAAAAATATTTAAATAATTATTACTTGATTTGAGGAGACAGTAGTACCGAATTTCCCAAAGTCTGATTCTAGCAAACCTGTATTTACAAAAAACCAAACAAAAAAAAAACCAAACCCACAATTGGATTGACACATGGAATCCTTGCTTTTAACTTCTCCTGTTGGTCTATCTTCCTAGCCCTAATGTTTTCTTTAATACAACAACAACCCAGAATTCAGTCCCAAAAAACAAGGACAGAGCAAATTAGCTTTTTTAGGCAGTGGTCATGTTGCCAAGAGGATGTGTTATTTACATGTTTACAACTGAATTCTACTTCCACTACTTTTGTCCTGCACATGGAAGATTGTAATCAGAACAGGAAGAGAAGGCTGGGTGGAACTTTTAATTATTATTTCTCTTTGTTATGAGTGCTTGCTCACTACAGTAATTGAAATTGTATGCCCTAACCTTGCTGTCACTGGAAAAGAGATTTGCATTTCCTACCTAAGGTTCATAAAGGGATCTATTGTAGGGAAAGGAAATGCAGGATTGATATGGTGCAAATAGTTAAATTAAAAACTGTTCAACAATGCAATCCTAGCCATGTCTACTCAGAAATAAGTCCTATTGAATCCAGTGGCCTGACAAGTATATACAGAATTCAACTTAAGCCCCGTGCTAATTTCTGTAACATCTGGAGCAGGGGTGGTGATGAGACTGCTCTAGCAAACGTTGGCAGTATTGCTTATGTTCCTTCTGTCTAACATGGATGTTTGTGTGCCCCCCCCCCCCCGTATTTATATTAGTGTGGCCTACTCATGGAAGTAGAGAGCAAAATGATATAAGGAATGTTGCGTTTAAACCACTATCCAAGAAACTAGAATTTGGCAAATTAAGGATTTCTGTAAACAAAGGCTTTTATAAACAAATCCCACTGTGCAGTGTTGTCATTTGCAGTTGCATCTAAGGACTGATATGGCAAGAAGAGGGCCCAGAAATCTGTCCACTGTTAAGAGACTGTGTACAAATATTTTGTGTTTTCTGAATGACTTTCCAGGGTCAAAAAATGTATTTTCTAAACAATCAGATGTTTCTCAGAAAACAATTTCAGGAGCTTCCCACCCCAGGCCCACTAAAGGAATTCACTGCAGAGTTTGTTACTTTGAAGATTAGAATAAAAACATATCCTATTGGCTGTGGGCTGTTTGCTTCTTATCCTCAAAACTTGTTCTGGAGCAGTTTTGTGTTAAGAAGGGGAGGTAACTCAAGGAAGGTTAGTTGTGATGTGAAAATCAGGAACTGGCTGAACAGTTGTGCAACCTGGAATTGCAACTAGGAAAGAGTTTAGCTCAGTGGCAGAATGCTTGCTTTACACACAAAAAGTTCCAGGTTCAATCCCAGGTATATAGAGGGACCCCTGCATGAAACCCTGGAGAGCTGCTGCCAGTCAGTGTCAACTGTATTGCACTAGATGGATATATGGTCTGCTTTCTTTAGTCATAGTTATGTTGACCATTGCAACACACACAAGCTTGCTGAAAGAACCCTGAGCCTATTCATTCCTGCCCTAGTTCTCAAAGGACTGTGCCTCATTTTCTTGCTATACTGTAAACAGTTGGACTCGTATATTTGCATGGCACATGGATTCCTATCCTTGACCTGACAGGCCCTGGTTATCTATTTAAATACTGCCTTTAAAAGTGTTTAATGAATTCCAGGCTGAGATTTGTCAATATGTCATCTTATCTAATATTCTTGTTTGCTCCTTTTCACAGTAAACAGCCTCTATTCATGTTTTCTAAAACAAACAAACCGAAAACCAGACATTCTGTTACGGAAACTGGAGTCTTTGTTACTTATTTGCTAAGAGAAGGTACTCTTAGTGATAGCTGGTGTCCTTGATTCTTCATTTAACTTTGTTCAATGGGACATTTTTGTAATGGCTCAGACCTATTGGCCTTTAAAAACAGTATTACTGAAAAACCTTTATTCAATGCTTGCTCCAACTTTCTGCAATTAGGATCTTCAGGCTGTTTTTCCAAGAAAGTGTACAACATACCTTCATTATATTGAGTATTGTGATGTTTTTCTCTGATTTAAGGGGACTGAGTCTAAGTTCTGCCCTTGCATTCATGAAATGGCTTACGATGCAGAAAAGGCATCTGCTAACATAAGAGGAACCTGCGGCCTTCCAGGCCATGCAGATGTTCTTGGGCTCCAACTCCCATCATCCCTGACCACTTCTCATACTGGTTGGGGCTAATGGGAGTTGGGAGTCCAATGTTTCAAGGGCCATAGGTTCCCTACCCCTGCACTAACAGCCCCCTGACAATCAGCTCCTGAGAGTTAAGGGGCCATCCAGAACCAGTGGTGTCAGGGAGAGTTACACATGGAAGGATAAAAAGGCAAAAATCCCCCACTCCTCTGTAAGCAGATGCCTCGACTGGATCCCTTCTGTGAGTATAAGGGTACCAGTTAAATCCCAGCCACTAAAGCTAAAAGTATGGTTTTTCACACCTTGCTTTTAAAATCCATTATAGGTTATGAATTCCTGATGTGTAACACACACACACACACACACAGAGAGAGAGAGAGAGAGAGAGAGCGCAATAACTCACCCACATTACATACTTTCGTTTCTCCCACTGCATAACATTGCTGCTTTGGTATTTTAAAAATATTCATGATATAATAGAGCAGCAAGTCTCTGATGCTTACTGCGAAGGGTGAGGCAGCAGGCAGGGCAGTGTGGTGCAAAAGCACTGTCAGGACCACAGGACTGACCTCACTGGGGCTTTTGCAATGCACCAATGTCACCACCATCTCACCCTGGCAAGCAGCAGTGACTCACCTACTGGGAGGTTCACCCCACCATGTTGTCTGCTGCTGGTGCCCTGCTATGAAATGTTTAATCTTCTGGTTTCTGCAGTTTCTTCTAAAATTATATGGATACTCAGTTGCTGCACAGGCAGGTCAGGATCCAGAGAGCTAGAGGTTGATGGGCCAATGGTTAAATTCTATAGCAAAAAGACAAAGCAGAGTAAGTCTTTTCAGCAGCATTTCCCAATGGCAAGGTGTTGAATGGCAGGGATTTAGGGTATGGGGTTGGGGTCCAGATGACAGTATTCAATCCAGTACTGAAGCTTTAACTCATAATGCTATATCTTCCTGGTTTGTCAAGGAACCTTCTGGTGACAGAAGGCAACAAAGACTAGCTGCTGAAGGCCCTGGTTCAAATCAAGACGCATCCTCGCCCTCTTCCAGTGCATTACAGACTTTCCCCTTGCATTTCTTTACTGTGTTTATATTACACCTTTTTGACAAGGAGCTCAAGTGGTGTACATGGTTCAACCCCGAGAGGTAGGTTAGGCTAAGAGGTAGCGACCGGCTTGGGTTCAGTGTGTAGATTTTCTGTGCTTCTTTTGACTTTCTTGCATGATGTCTGATGGGCCCCAGACTCAGTTACATTGAAGTACATCTCCATAATTGGAACCTAATCTTTTCTTTTACATTTTCACAAGACTGTAAGCTGGGTGTCTGCACCAAACATAGTACACATATTTGGATCTCCTGCTTGTATGAGGCTCACCTGGGAAGACAAGAAACCTTTATCTCCAGATTTGCAAATAAATGTGTTCACTTAAGATCAGGGATGTAGGTTTTGTTGTATTCATCAAGCACAAAAGTCTTTGTTGTCTTGGCATGGTAACATCTGTAAGAAAAGCAACAAGGTGGCAAAAGTAACTTTCACACAACCCAAGCCCTCTACCTCCAATCCTGATACAGTACTGCTAAATTCACACTTGGCAAATATGCAGTGCATGATATTCAGTCCCCACATAAAGGAGTAGCCTTTCTGACAAAGGAATTGCCCAGATGCAGAGGATTTGTTGTAGCTTAACACACACCCCATAGGGTTTTTATTTGTGGTTGCTCCAAAGTTTGCAAAGTGGGGGGGAGGGGCGGCGGGAATCAGCCTTGCCTGCTTTTCTAACAGCAGTTTGATGCACAGAAATTGGCCTTGACATGGAAATAAACATTATCAGCTGCTAATGTCTCCATATCAAGCTACTGTTAAACACATACCTACAGTGATCAATTAAAATGTTGATACCCTAGGGCCCCAGTGCTGGAGAGGAGAAGCACATTGCCTTCAAAGCGTCAATAGAGATATTAAGAGGGTGAAAAATTATCGGTGTCAGTGAATTGCTGGGGGAAAGGAGCTTGCATTGCTTCTGTTCATCAGTTTCTTTTAAAAGGCTCACCAGCATTCCTATGCTTAAGGCCCATCCAGACGTCCTTTTCATTGTGCATTCATGGTGATCATGCTGCTGTTGGGGCAGGGTGGTCACTCACAATCCCGCTTTCAATTCTATTTGTGTCTGCAAAAGTTTTGGGATGGTCATTGTTATGTACTGAGTTGAATAGGATTAATTTCCAACCCCTGCATGTCCCAAAATGTCCTGCTGAAATTAATGCCCAATGGAAACTTGAGAAAAGACAGGTGGATCTTCTGCAAAAATATAATATGTGCATTTATTGAATCACATCATGTTAATTTTGAAGTGTAGTTAAACATAGCAAGCAGCTATGCACTAAATTACAAGGGCAGGAGAGCCTAGTTATCATTGTGAAGGCAGCACTTGGGGGGTGGGGGTTGTTCATTCTTGTGGCTAGGAGCCAAAAGGAAAAAATGTCCCCATTTAACATCCCCATCCATTCTGATCTTGGTGGGGGAGTAAAGAGATAAGTCTTCCTTTGTTGAATAATTGGTCTCCCCCACCCCTGTAATTATTTAAGGAAAAAACAAGATATGTAGTTGCATGCATAGTTTAGTGACATCTAGTTTGTCGCTTAGTATCTATTGAGAGACTTATCTTAATTCTTTCATCCAGAGCACGTTCTTTGTAAAAGCATCCACACTTTAACTGGCACCTTTGCAGGAAAAAACCCCCTGTAATCTGTTATAAAAAGCAGCATAAACCCCTAAATTTGTCCACATGGTGCTGTCTTCTTTCTAGTTCTTTTGGCTTCTTATCGTGCTGGCTTTGTATAAAGTTGACTTCTCCAAGTTTTCTGTGTTTAACTCCAGTTCAATTAAACACTTATGGATGTGTACAAAGTGAAAAATGGGGTTATGAGAGGTTAATGCTTTAATGCTTTTAATAGTTCTTTTAGCCACATGGCTGCATTTTGTCAAATAAAGTACAGAGCTGTCCCAACAGGAAAAGTACAGATAGGAACAAACTAACTGATGCTTCTCCCCTAAAGGGCAACTGCTACATTTTGGGCAAAAATATGTGAGCTGGTAATGAGCTGAACATATTTCGCAAAGATTTGGTCTCCACATGATTTAAGCCAGGATGGATTACTGATGATGTTGGCCAGAGAATTTGTACCTTAGACTTCAGCAGACAAACAGTGGTGCTTAGAAATATTCAAATCCAGTCTGGCTTGTTCACACAACAGTTAACTTCAATTAGGGGTCAGGAACCTGTGGCAATTGTTACAGTTGGACTACAACTCCCATCATCCCTGTGCAATGCCATGCTGTTTGGGGCTTATGGGGGATGTAGTGCAGCAATAGGTCCTGAGGGCCACAGGTCCCCTATCCCTGACCCAGATACACCATTTTGCTCCATTGTAAAACCAAAAGCATGCTTGCAAGAGATTGTTCAGTTTGATATTCAGTTTTTTTAAAAAAAATGTTATCAGGTGACTATGGACAGATATGAGATAGGGTGGTATCCAGCTAAGTTTTACTCTGAGTAGACCCATTGAAATTAATGGACCTTAGCCATGTTCAGTCATTTCAATAGGTCTACTCTGCATATAACTATGGGTGGTATGCAACTAAATTTTACTCAGAATTGCACCCCCCCTGCATCTACTTTTACTACATCTTCTCTGTGATCCTAAAGGAATTTAATAAAACCGAGATTTTTGTGTGTGAAAAGAAATATCCAGTGTTCAAACACAACTTTATATGCTCTCTTAAATACAATTAAAAATGGAATTTGCCTGCATGTCTCAGCACAGTAACACTCAGGAGCTGGTTAACATCCCTCAGAAGACAGCTTTCATTCTCCTATTTTCCTGGTGTCTATTGTTTACCCTCTACAACCCTTACAGGAAATCTTTTCTTTCTTAATTGGGGGGTGGGGTGGGAAAGCAGCATACTTATTTTGTAGTGTGAGTCCACCTCTGACCATCAAGACCTCCCACAAAGGGTACCAGAACTAGAACTCAAATATTTGTTGTTTTGAGTTTTCCCCACCGCTTTGCCAAGAGTCAAGTGCAACGTGTGGTTTATGGCTGCAGATGATAAATGTGTAAAAAAAAGCACCACAGCCTAATTAAATTCTATTTGCTACAGCTTGCTCAGCTTAAGTACAAACACACCAGCTAAAGTGGTTGCTGGATTAGAGTTGGAAGGGTTGGTTCTCTGCAGCAAAACAACCAAGCGAAAGCAGGCCCCTGGATACTAATGTTGACTGATTGCTGCAAATATATAATTCCAGAGCAAACACATACTTAACAACCAGGGTTCCAGTAAGTCTTAAATAACTCTCCTTCCCAAATGGCCAGTGAGCTGTATTAACTGTAGGAAGGTAGAGGGTCAGCTGGTTGTTCTTTCAGCCTCAGGGTATTCCACCCACTTCCACATGCTGTTTCAAGGGGGTTCTTGGTTTGTAACGTGAATGTAAACACTCTGCAGGCTAGAATGCTCTTTCGTGTCTCAAATGCTTCTGTTCTGCTACATTTTTTCATTAGCAATGATAAGATGTTCCCATAAATAGCATGGCAGAGGAGCCAATGACATGTTATGCATGTTATGGAGCACAGATACCATTTTTTAAAAAAAGAAAAGAGAAAAGAAAGCAAGTGACTTTTGAGTGGAAAAGCAGCAAGGGAGAACACATACTCCTAGTCACCAAGGCAATTTGAGTCTCAAGGCAGGGGCACCAGCTCCTGGGGACTGAGCCCTTTTGCCCCCCCAAATATTTTTGGGGTAAGAAGTGGGCCCCCTCAATGTCTAAAAAGCATGGAGGCAAAACATGGAACAGCTCCAGTGCCTGGCTCCTCCTCCTGCTGCTGCTGCAGAGGGGAAGGGGGGGTTGAAGCAGCCTCCCATTGGTAGCAGCACCAGGAGAAGGTGGAGGGGCAGCAACTGTGTGGCTGCTGCATTTAGCTCCACCCCCAGCTCCTCCTGACATCCTCCTGTTGTATATTATTATTTTCTTTAATTTCCCTCTTTTCTTTGTTAAATTTGCAAATAAAATAAGTAAGTAAGTAAGTAAAGAAATAAAGAAATAAGTAAGTGGCCACACCACAAGCAATGAACACCATTGAATAGTGGACCAAACCAGTCAAACCATTCCTGGATTTTACTACCCAGCAAGATAGTACCTCAAAGAAATAAAGTTAAACCAATAATTTGGGTCTGTGGTTTAATTCTGATGCCTTTGACCAGGATACTTTTAAGCTGGCAACATTTGGGCAGCTGGCTTGGGTTTCCTTTTGGATGTCCACCAGGACAAAGTCCTTTCTCTAAGCAGCTTACCGTTTAAACAGAAAAACAGGCTATCACATCTCTGGGAAATGACATTTCACAATAGCCAAATATTCCAACAGCTTAAGCCAACACTAGTGTACATATATTGCTCACCTAGTGAAAGTGCCAATTTTCTGAACAGTCAGGATTTGAGGGTTCAAGAGAAGCACAGGTTTTGTGTGTAGGCAAATTAAAAGAAATTCTGCAGTTCACCGTTCAGCAAATATATCCTCAACAGCAGTAGTCACGCCTGGCAAGCCAGAAAAACCGACTGTGTGTGGAGGGTGAGGTGAAAATAAATGGACAGTGGAGAGCAGTGGGATTTCCTGCTCTCTATATATTCATTTATGCTCACCCCCACGCCCGTGTAAGGTTGTGATCACGTAAGCAAAGCAAGCACAAGTTGTGGGATTACTGTAATAGAGAACATATTCTTTTGGTACTATGTGTGTGCTAATAAACCAAAGACAGCAAGTAGGATGGGAGCAAGGT